GTATATATATATACAAAAACTCTTGGTAGGATTTTGTGTTTTTGCAGGGTTTAATTCTTAAAATAATCAAACGTAAAAATAAACTGCAGAAAACTTGTCCTTTTTAAGAGAACACTACCCTTTAAGAATATTTTAGACCAAAGTGAAACTTTATGAGACGCATTGAAAAACTGTGTGTAAATAAGATGTAGCTGCTGTTTAATGTATTAATCGATTTTCCTCACCAACTCAGAGTCCTGAACCAAGGCAGCTCATAGGAATGGTAAACTCTGTAGCCGATGGTGATTATCTCCTGGAAACACTTGATCTGCACACCCATGACCTGGAACACAAGCAAAAGGAGAGTCAAAAAAACAGAAAATTAAAGTTTATTCAACTTGCACACAAAGCAACCGCATGAGGGTTTTATAAATTAAAGTTTTGTCTCCAGTGTGACTCACTGCAACTTACCACAAAGATAAGCATGATGGGTCCCATGTAGATCATAAGGAAAAAACCCGAAATCATGCAAATGGACAGAAGTCCTCGTATCCAGTAGTTCCTCCATCTGTGAAGAATTATAAGCTTTTAGAGAAAATGCATGGCTGTTATATCAGATTTAACATGAGGGTATAAATCAACGATCAACAGAAGAACCATTTCAACAGAGGACCGTGATTAGCAGAATATTTGAATAGAAGTGGGGAAAATATTAATGTTATCTGAGATAAAGAAATAAGAGTTATGAGAGTAACTGTTTAGATGAGATCAATATATCAATATTTATCCTGCCAAATGCGATTAATCACAAGTAATTGTTAATCATACCCAATAACTATTACTTAAAAACTGAATTTTCTATTTACTCTGGTTTTCTTTCTCAAACAGTATGAGATTTATATCCCTCCTCTGCTGCGTCATTCATTCAATTTATAATAAAAAAAATAAAAAAATATTTATTACAAAGGACAACTCAGACCTTTTTTCCTCAGANTTCTGAGGGGAAAAATCAAAATCTGANTNTTGAGAAGAAAAGTCAGAAATATGTTGAAAAAAAGTCAAGAAAAAAAATTACAATACTAAGAGACAAAAGACAAGAGAGAAATCTGAGATTACAGAGTCAGATTTCAGATTAAAGAGAAAAATCTGAGACTGAAGTCAAAAATCTAAGCGAAAAAAATTACAATACTAACAAAAAACTCAAATTTGAGGGAAAAATGTCAGAAATCTGATATTAAAGTGAGAATTTTGATAAACAGACAAATTGAGATTAAAGTCAGAAATCTAAGGGAAAAAAATCTGAGAAAAAGTCTTAATTAAATCAGAAATCTGAGATTGAAGAGCAAAATCTGAATGAAAAGGTCAGAAATTGAGATTAAAGTAAAAAGTCTGAAGACAAAAATTTGAGGAGAAAAAAAAACGGAAATCTGATATTAAATCAGATTTCTGAAGAGGAAAAAAGAAAAATTGACATTAAAGTCAGAAACCTGGGAAGGGAATTTTATTTTATTATTTTCTAAATTCATCATCCCTTTTCCTCTTCAATAAAACCGTCTTTTCCTCATCCCTGTGTGATGTAATGCATTGCCAATGTGTGCTTGCTGGGGAAAAGCTTCGTATTCACTGTGCCATGTTTGGCGAAACCTTTCAAAACACAGGAAGTGACCTCACAGGAGCCAAACTGAGGCGGCCGTCTGTGAATGGAGGAGAGAAACCGCTGCATCAGGAGAAACGCTTTCACTGCTGAGTGCTCACTATCCCCTCCTGCAGTCTTCACCTCCAGATCCATTCATCCCTCCTCTGCTACGTCATTCATCTCAACCCACCGACGTTCGATGATCACTGAAATCTAAGTCCAGCTTCGTCCTCTTCCCTCTCTCTGCTCGGCGCCCTTTGGCTTGATGAACCTTTACGCACCGTGACCTGCCAGTCATCCAGCGGTCACACCCTCCGCTCCTTCACTGCACAACAAAACAGCCCATTGTCGAGGACTTCTCCACTCGATAGTGTCGATATCTCTGCTGCGTTTGCATTCATCTTGTCAGACTCTTATCTTTCTTCCTATGTTTATCTCCGTCAGGCACCAGCAAACCAAAACAAACTCTTCGTCTGGGGCAAACTGACATTTCTGCTCCTCCTGAAGCCTCTGAATGATCATAATTGTCAAGCCATTAGGAACAATAAATATTCAATAAAATGAAATAATTTGTACAATATGCAAAAATGCCACAAAAAATGTTCGGGTTGAGTTTTCTGCCATTTAGCAAATAGAAATAATTTTGATGATTCTAACTGACCAAGAAGAAGAGAAGATCAGTTGGATTCAACCAGAGTTGGGCAGCAACTGGTTACATTTACTCAATTACATGCAAGTAACTTCTGTGAAAATAAACTTACTTTTAGCAGTATTTTTACTAAGCTGTACTTACTTTACTTGAGTAATTTCATTTTGAAGTATTTCTACTTTTACTTGAGTAAACTTTCTGGATTTTCTACCTACTGGATGTTTTAACCAGTAAGTCACCAGACAGACACTCAGCAGCAGCTTCTGTTAAAGTTTCATCCGTTTTTTATGGAAAGAAACTGATTTGCTCGATTCTGTTTTTTGTTATTTATATGAATTATTGTCATTTCTGTCGTAAGAATATCAACATTTCCACTTAAATTTATATTTTGGTCAGTCTGATAATGTAATTTTTAAATATTGAATGATTGATAATTTGATCAGTTACTCGATTAATCAGTTATTCTGGCGATTAATCGGATTTTAAAAATGGCCTTTAAAAATATGAAGATATTTTTACTTTTTATACAATATTAGACATACATTAAAAGATAAATAAACAAATAATTTTTAATTAAGAAAATACATGTTTTATTGCCTACAATGAAATAACGTAGCGTTCCTTTAGTAAATCTGAACCAGGAGAAGCTAAAACTATGCAACTTGAGGAGTGTTGGCTAAAACAGACAAGGATCTTTTTTTATCTGGAATGTAAAATATTTATAAATTTATATATTTTCACTTTGGGCTTGTTACTCTGAATATGTTGGTTTTTTTCAGTAAAAGGCTCGAGTCTGAATACTCCAGTTTACAGTTAATCGATTACTAAAGTAGTTGACGATTATTTAAACAATTCGTTTCAGCTCTACTCAATTCAAAATATCTATGCACCATTTTCTGGGCCCAGTTAACCTTAATGCAGTGTGGAAGACGATTTTGTTTTTTTGGGGAGGTTTGATGTTTTTCTGAGTGTTTCTGTGAAAATAAAATCAACTGTGACTACTGACCAAACTTACAAACTGAGATCTCTTTCTGCTTGCTGTGAGACTTGGTGTCGTCTCTAAAGATAACACATGCATGCAAATTTAACTTTAGCTGCAGTCAGGCCTGGCTTATCAGAGCTCCTCTGATAAATGCTGCCATCACTTCTCATCTGAAATAACCAACAGAAGCCGTTTGAAAACGTTCCAGGAAAGAACATGCACTGAAGAAGGCAGAGGTTTAGTTAAGAAAAAGGCCAATTATCAGCCATCTTTGTGTGGCTTCACAGAATGGTGACAACAGAAAGTATCAGACACAAGAAAACAGGGCTGAAAACATTGGCGTTTCATATCAATCAATGTCAATAATTATTGATTTGTTTTTTGTTTTAAATATCTGAAATACTACCAAAATGGTGGCATAACCTTTTCTGTTGTATCCACAGTTTTCACTCCACATTAAGCAGATATGAGGCAAAATCTTGCTTAGCAGAAGATGGTTGCTAGGTAACCAAAGTAGGGGGGGACTTGAAACTACCCAGCAGGTTGTTGCTAGGTAACCAAAACGTGGGTGGGTTAGTTGATTCCACCAACCTAGCTTAGCTAGCAATGAGAAGCTGAGCAGTTAAAGTCTTTCCTACATCCCCGAGATTATCTATTGATATTGATTTATTTTCAATCACAAGATACAATGTTATTGATTTATTGTCCAGCTGTACGAGAAAACCTTCAGTGTTACAGAACAGATGCATATCTGCGTTTGAGGAGTACGTACTTGGGAGGAAGCCCCTCCAGAGCTTTGTTCAGGCATTCTGGAGTGTTGTCCGTGTCCGCTGTGGAGGCGGGAACATCTGGAGTGTCCGTTTTGGAGTCGCCGTCACATTCTCCCTCAGTGTCGCCTGACAGGCCCAGCCTGTCGTCGCCATCGGCTTCCTGCCAGAAAAACAAACAAAAAAAAAGCAGATAAGTATTTAAACACTGACTCATAAATAGGAGTTAGCAGCTCAAGAAAGCATTTAAAAACAGGAGAGATGAAATCATGTAAATATTGAGAGTACTAGAGTTAAAAAGGAGAAATTATTTTGTTGCAAAATCGTTTTTCTCAGAATTGTCAAATGAAATCCATCCAACTTGCAGACTGACAACTACAGAGGACAATATGTGCCTGTAATCACTGTCTCCATGGTTACCAATGGTCACCTCCAGCGTTATTTTACATTACAGTGGGGTCATGTCCTCCAATCCCCAACCCAAGAACAGATCCAGGATCAAATCCTCCTCGGCGGAGTATTAGGGCCGTTGCAGACAGAAACACAGAGAAAATACATTTCTGCTTAGAAATGTTCTAGAAAAAATCTTTTGAAAAAACAAAAACTCTTCCTAGTTTAATCTCAAAACTTCTGAATTTGTCCTTGAAAATGTTCGACTTTTGGGGCTCAGAAATTTTCTTGTTTCTTCCAGAAAGTTTTTGACTCTTTGACCTCAGACCTCACATGACTTAGAAATATGACAGCTTGAAATTGAGCCTCTGTCTCTTTAAGAAGTTTCTCCATGCTGACACTGCGCCTTCAGCTCATCACAATGTTCCTCTACTATCCCATTTACAAATATTCTTAGGAGTGTTTGACTGAGAAGCAGATCTGATGAAAATATTACCAGATTTGCACCAGTAAAGAATAAAAAAATACTTTTTTATTTGAAGTTTCTGATTGCGGCACCAAGTTACAGGAGCCTCCCAGGATATTTATCACAAACAAAATGTCCTTTGATGCAAAATATAAATAAGAGTTGCATATTATACACTGATGCTTATTAACTTTTAGTATTTTGTAAAACATTTTTTGTAACATTCAATCATAAAATATTAAACGTTGCATAAACAATCAAAACTGGAAACGGTTAGTTAGTAGGGACTTAAACACACATTTGTGTTAATATGTGTGATTAAGACGGTTAATTGTGTTCTTGAGGCAACTCCATTAATTGATCTCAACGAGGTGAGCTGGAGATTTTCCCCCTAAAGGAACCAGCTGCTGCGTTTCCTTTCTTAACTCGAGACTCTCTGCTGTTCCTCCTCATCCTGTTTTTACCTTTCATGGGCTCTTTTACTCAAACGCTGCCAAATGTGGTTAAACGGGGTCATCAGGGTTAAATTACAGAGCCTTAAGTCCACAGACGTAATTGGCTCACAAAATGGGAAAGCAGTCGGGTTGCAGTGTGGGTTACTCTAGTTGGTGTAAAAACAGAGACAGAGGAGATGAAACTGGATTTAAATTCAGGATAAACGGAATAGGGAGTATATCTTTTCATCTTTTGATAATTGTTCTGCTCTAAAACTATATATTTTTGCTAAATTTGACAGAGAAACACTAAAGATTGGTTTGGTTTGTAGAAAGCCATTGATGATGAACCAGAACCAGTCATGGTATTCACTAATATTCAAAATAATGAATTTCATTAGATATTCCAGTGTTAAATGGTCATTAATGTGTTCTTGCATTATTATGCCATCATTACTTAAAAAAGGTCTCGAAATAAAATATAATTTATCGGAATAATTTCTGGAACAATTCATCATCCAGCAAAACTTATTATGACAGGTGTGGAGTGTGGTTGATTTCCAGAAACGACTCGATTTCATGCAAAACTGAATTATAAATCAAACAGAGGACGTTATTTTAGCTGCTAAGCAAATAAAACCTTTAAAAATACTTCAAATTGTTTGATGTTTTGCAACATAAACAAGCAGATATGAGTAATTAAAATCCCATAATAACCAAGAATAATTTCTAGAATGACTAGAAAAATGTGCATGTGTCCTAAGCTGCTGAAACAAACAAATCTACTGCAGAGAATCTTTACATTTTTTTTGTAGTGCTGATTATACAGAACTCTTCACCCGTCTGTCTTCCTGCAGCTCTTCATGTCTCTCAGAGCTGCAGGAACTGGATGATGTCATTTTGTCCCTGCAGCTCTGGGACAGAGAACAAATGTCTCTGTTCTATCAGAGGATATATTGACCTTTAACCTCGCTTAGAGCTTTGACAACAGGAAAGAAATCGCTTCAGGACATTGAAAAAAGTAAATAAATAAAAAGGATGAGATCGTTCTAATTAAGAGTGAGAATATTAAATCTGGTTTCAGGTCATTTCATTAACTTCAAATTGTACAACGTTTGGGAGGAAAATGATTCATCGTTGCTATTATTACATACAAACAGAAATCTGAAAGGTGTGGCATGCATGTGTAATTAGCCATATCTGGCTATGTTTCTGCCAGCTTTGCATATCTAGAGATGACATGATTTTTTTGTTTCTCAAACCAGCCTAAGGTCAGTGACCCTATATGGAAATGCACTGATCACAGCTCTGAGATGTGCACAGCTTAAAGGTGACCTTGATGCTTCATAAAACAAATTAAGATAGGTCTAGGGGCCATACAAACATTTCTTGTACAAAATCATTCTTAGAAAATGAGATTTTAATCTGTTCCTTTCAGAATGAGCTGTTTTATGGTCTCTTGTCATTTTAAATTCAAAGAAGCTGCTGCTGGCCACGCCCACAGACTCAACATTTACACTCGCATGTGAAAATGGCTGCAAACAGATGTGCAATTATACAACCATATATATTTGAAAAGCAGAAGTGGAGCCTACTGCAAAACCAACAAGAATTTGGCAAGTGGTTTCTGGATGGTAAGTCGACTACAAAACACTTGTCTTTTCCAGCAGCCATTGTAAAGCGCATACAGCAGTAAAACCAGCTGACCAAACTTGCTGGAGCTCAGCTCGGGTTGCTAGGTAACGGGCCAAACTCTGTTGGGGTTGCTAGGTAACGGCACAGTGCCTGCTGATTTACATTCCAGATTTTTGAAACGGCTCATTTTCTAGATACCAAAAGAATTTAAACTTTTTGCCAAAAACCGGTCAGGTGTTTTTTTATTTTCTTTCTTTGTTGTTGTTGTTGTTGTTGTATTTTTTAAGCACTTAGGCTGTTTTTAGAAGGAATAGAAACACAAATGCAAGTACTAAAATGAGGGGAAATTTACAAATTGTGCACAATAGTTCGGTCCCCTTTAAGATAATTTTTTAGAATCTCAATATGTTTTAAACCTCCTCTCTGATTGGTCTGCTGTGGTCTCCATGATGCTGTTTGTCCTGTAACAGTTGGGATTTTAAAGGACCAAGCTGATTAAATCACAGCCTAGACAAGTTTCCTAATCCTTGAGGGAAGAAGAACAATCAGCCGCAAACACCAGAATGAAAGTGCGACTTCCTCAGAGAAGCATCTCCATTTTCAACAACGCTGCTTTTTTTCCCCTCTGACAAACTGCAGTGTGAAGCAATAAGAAGCTTTCAGCAGCCAAACAAAGTCAGGTGGGAATTTAATGCTCATTGATACAGATGGATCAATGGAAACTCTGGGCTGCCATTCAAGCACCAATTGTCTCTTTAATTCACGGCTTTACCCTGTGCCAGTTAAGCATCGTCAGCCTGTTTTAGACTCAACTTTAAGCCGAGTTCAGCAGAATCGCAACAGCCTGGGGGATCGTCTTTCAAGATTAATTTTATTTATGAAAACATTGTAAATCAAGTCAAAAATAAACAGCATTTTAGAATAAATACATTTGTGGAATCAGAAAGCCAATAATAAACATTCAGACAATATTTATTTACATCTTGTTGCCATTTATTTCAGGTCATGTGACAGTGATGCAGTGCATTTTAAGGTTTTATTAAGCTTGAGAAACTTTAACAGAAACTCCAGGTGTGTGTCTGTGTCTGGTGAATTTTTGTTAAAACATGTTTGTTTTTCATTCAGTGGGTAGAAAATCCTGAAATTTTACTCAAATAAGAGTAGAAATACTTTATAATAAAATTACTCAAGTAAAAATAAGAAGTGAAAAGTAGTAAAAATCCTCCTAAAAGTGAACTTTTCAAAAAAGTTATTCAAATAAATGTAACTGAGTGAATGCAACCCAACTCTGTTGATTTATCTCATTTTTAATTCCTCATTATTTTAATAATTATTTACTTCATCAGCCCCTTTACTTGATTAACTTGATTGTGTGCGTCTCTAGTCGTTAAATGTCTGTTTTTCTATTTTTAACTTCTATAAATAACTTTCTTACACTTGACTGAGAGCCCTGATCTCAGTTTATTAAAAAAGGTTTGAACCAGACACTCAAACATCCAGCTACGATTCTGCCAGAAGCTCGTTAACGGCTACAGAAAGTCAGTGAGCCATGTGCATCGTTTCCAAAGGAAATTCACAAAAAATTTTAATTTATCCACACAAATCCAGATTTTACAAATCACTTTGATTTTTTTGGTGTCTAATATTTCCATCTTGGAAAAATAAACACTCCCAACTTCAGTCAAAACACAAACCCAAAGGTTTCTGAAGCAGAGCTTGTGAAGACTGCAGAGATATTAAAAAATGTTAAACATCGCGACCAACCAGCCGGCCTGCAGAAACCCCACCAAGGTCAGCTGTCATGTAAAGTCTGCAGCAGATGTCCCAGACGCTTCTCCAGCTCCGTTTGGTTTTTATCTACAGGGTGTGAACCAAAGCGAAGCCATCATTTGAAAACAAGCCGAGTCGAGCTGAGTCACAGCGGTGAGAAACGGCGACAGCTTTGCTCCCAGACACATTAAAACCATCGTGTTCATTTTCTCCCAAACGCACCATTTCTTTCCTCTACTCAGCAGCTCTTTCACAAGAAAAGGTAATAACTTAAAGACCATGAGCTGCACCACAAAGCCTAAACAGAGCAAGTCCTGACACCTCTGCATGCATCACATCGAAGCAGTCAGATGCTGCAGAAGTTGAAATACGAGTTCTACTGTAATTAAAGGAGGAGAGTCACAAAACCTATTAAGTAGGTCAGCCACAATAAACAATAAATCAATTAATAGCATGACAAACTAAAACCAGAAATGACTTTTACTTGCATAATTTATCATTTTTCTCAGAAATTAAAGTTTTTTTATCTTTGAGAATGTGTACTTGCGTTAATATTACACAAGTTGAAATTTGTCTCAAAATGGCAATATTATTGTTTACTGTAATAATTTCTGGGACAATTTATCATCCAGCAAAATGTGTTATTGTGAGAGGCCTATTATTGAAGCAGCTGATTTTGCTGCTGTGCAAAAGATTTTAGTCCACATCTAACTTCTGTCACCAATAATTGTGCAATTTGCCAAAAATATATTTGTTAAATGCAAACACTGCGCTTTAAAAAAATTAGTTTTTTGATAGAAAGTTTTAACGCTAGGATGATGGAAACATTACAATTGTGTTTTTCTGACATTAGCGGAATATTGATAAAGTTGTGTAAATATTTCTAATGGCACAGCTACTGAGAACGACTTTTATAAACCCGGGGTGTCCAAAGTGTGGCTCTCGGAATGATTCAAGAATGGCTTCAGTTTGTTTTTCCAGCCAGTTGATACAGAAACGCATTTTAAGAAAACAATGTTAGGACGCCATTCTCACTGATGCCAGCCTTTAAAAAGAAAGATACAGGCAATTTAACATCTGACAACAGGAAATGTAAGGTGAAACACAAAATATTCATCCAGGGTTCTGCTTTAAATTTAGTTTATTTTAATAGTGAAAAGGACAACAAACACCCAGTGATTTTTCCTAAAATTTAGACATGGGCATGGCCATTTAATAGACTTGGCAAAATAAATCAACAGTGAGTCATAGCCTGTTTTTGTTGCTGAAAAAGATGGTGGAATAATTACTTCTAGTCAGCATTTTCTGTCTTTGAAAGGTGTTCATAACCTCAAACAGATCTCCTAGAAGGACGATGCCCCTAAGCACACTGCTAGTGGTGAGAAAAAAAATATGATGTATAGGGGCGTCATGCTAGAAGGGGCACCAAAATGATGCCAGCATAATTATTTCTAATTGGCATATTTTCTGTATTTGTGAACTCAAACAGGTCTTCCAAATGGATGATGAGCCAAAGGACAAAAATGGGTACGTACTATATTGAGGGATGTGGGCGCCATGCTAAAAGGGGCGCCAAAATGATGGTGGAATAATTATTTCTAGTATTTCTATATAAAATACTTAACATGGTCCACTTAAATTAGTTACAAAGTCACTTAGAGACAACAAAGTCAATGTTTAAAAGTGCTTTAAATCCTTTAGTGTTTAATCCAGACATAAACTTCAGGATGACACATTTATTATTGGTCAGCAGCAGCCTGACGAGTCCGGCTCATAGACACTCAGCTATGATAAATAGGTGAAGGTATCGCCTCAACCCGAACTGCTCCCAATCGGAACCGTATCCGTGACCGAGCTGCGGCTGAAGCTGGATTAACCAGCTAACCAGCCTGGCTAACCCGGCTCTCCAACAACAACCAGCCGGACTGGTTTCCAGGACGAGGATCCACGGTGATACCGGCGTCTCCTTACGCCCGAAAGGTGCGTTTTACCTTGTCGCTGATGTTCTCGGCGGTGTCGGGGTCTCCTCCACCGGCGCCTCGTTTCCTCAGCTCCGTCATGTTTCGCTCGTCTCGCCCCCGGGACGTTAATGTGTCACATAAGCCGACTCCGAGGGCAGGGAGGGCGGGGAGGGAGAGAGGGAGAGGACCGGGGACGAACCTTGGAATTTTAACAGCCGAAGTCCGGGATTTTTAGAGCCGGTTCGACCCCAGAGGCGGTCCGAGAAGAAGGTCAAGTTTCCTGAAAGTCAACCGGTGCCGACAGCGCAGCTCCGCGGGACGAGGCACGGCTGCTTTACCTGTTTGTTTACCACCGCAGTCCCTGCTCTGCCTTTTTTACTGCTGCGAAGCACGAGAAATCATAGACACCACTTCCGGCGAAGGCTTTCAAAAATAAAAGCTTTTCTCAGGCGCGGTTTTCTTTAATTTCCCCTCAAAAGTCTAAAGGAATAGCTCAGTTTTTATGTGTGTGTTTTTCTTTCTTTATTTGTTTATTTACATGGGTTAGTACAATTGTAGATAAAATGGGAGTAAATGTTCACCAAAAAACTCAGAAATGTTCAAGAACAACAAAAAGAAAGAAGAAAAGAAAATGTCTGAGCTCCAAAAGTTTAAAATTTGCAAGGCAAAACTCAGAAATTTGGAAAATTATTTAAAAAAATACTAATTTTTAAATTACAAAGAAATTTCTGAGCTCCAAAAGTGAAAAAAATTGAAAGATTTCTTGATAAATGTCAGAAAAAATAAGGAAACTTCTGAGCTCCAAAAGTTGAAAATTTGCAAGAAAAAAAATCAAAAAGTGTTTTTCCTCTTTTTCTATTCTACATTGTTGTGGATATGAATTAATAAAAAAGTCACATTTACTTGTCATTGAATGAATGGTATTATTTCAGTGCACCATAATACATTTGGATGACATATTCATTTTGATAACCCCATCTATAATTTATCCACCATAAATTTATTTTTCTCTTGTTAAAGTTTGGAACTTCTTAAATTATGATTTGCAGCTAAAATAATTTTTTACAGTAAAGAAAGTTTAAAATACCAAACATTAAATGTTTCTACCATTAGAGTTGCAAAAACTCAGTTACATGTGATGTATATACTTTCACCCATTGTTTACTTCTTTGTCTTCAGATGTAATTCATAAATGCGCATATGGGCTCACATTTGGTTTTATTTTGAAGTGCGGCGAACCTCACTTCCGGAGTGAGTCTGTATTTATTTTAACTTTATTCTGCTCTGCTGCGGCGTCACCCTCCATTCAGTTCATATTGGGTTAACCTGCTCTGCTTCTCTCTGCAGTAACAACCAGTGCGGGCCGAATTAAACACACAAACACACATTTTGCATCGATTACAACCTGAAAACCCAAAATCCAGCCTCCTCTGCTCGGGACCGCCAACTTCAAATCCAACAAATCAGTTTAATTCAAATCAATTTAAATACCTCACAATGTCATGATAATGAGGTTTGTGAGCAAAATGCCCAACACATAAAGAAAAATGTAAAAAAATAATCGTTGCGTGGAAATGGGGTCTGGTTAACCTTTTGACCTTTTTGAGCTTTAAACTTTTATATTTTCAAAAAAGAAAAGCAGCACAAAGTAGCAACATGTGGCATAGTTGATTTTTACCAAATTAGTTTGATGGAATAGAATTTTTGTCAAACGATTTTAATTTTAAAACAGTTGTTTAATCCTAAGAAATCAGAAGCTCAGAAAAGTCAGACATGCAAGTTCATCAGCTAAATTAGCAAAACTGTCAAGATTAAGGAAGATTCAAACATCTGCGATCTGAAAAGAAACCTGAGTTTGAGCAGAAAATGGTTCCAAAAACTGTTAAAGGAGCGAACACCTGCTGAAATTTGTGTTAAAAGCTGAAGATATTTTATTAAACTTTAGAACTTTTGCAGAAATTGCAGGAAAGCAAAATTTTATTTTAACTGATAAATTAGCAAATAATCTGCAAAAGAAATTACCTGAAATAAGAAAATGGAAAGCTTTTTTAAAAATGTCCTGGAGAAATACATTAATTAAATATGCAAAGGCATAAAATGTAAATTTTACATGTAAAGCACAACCAATTATTAGATTTCCCTTTAGAAATTAATTCATTTAGCATTTACTCTGGTAAACTTCATTTTCTGAATAGTTTAAGTGTAACAACTAAATCTAGAAGCCATTTTACCCTTTAGCAGTAGAGAAGTTGAAGAATATTTTTGCTTATTTGTTTACATTTAGATGAGCAGCAAACGATAAAACCAGATCCAACAGAGATTAATGTCTCTCTGTACGTTTGTATTAATTTCAGATTTCAAAACAGACCTGAAAATATTCCCCAAATCAGAGATGACAGCCTTCGGTGGTAAACAGCAATTATTTATTGAACTGAAATGAAAAAGAATAAGTACCAGCTCTATTGCATTATTGAACCATTTTGCTCCGTCGACATTGACGTGGGTGTTACTCTACTATTTTTTATTTTTCTCTCGTAGGATGTAGTGAACACAAAGATACAAGGAACATTCAGCTATCACAGATTGCACACCAGATACTGTAGTAACGCAGTCTAATACAAGACCACCAAAATAATCCAGGATTTTTTTTTAGTTTTTTTTTTCCTTCCTCGTTTCGTAATTAGTTCGTAGTTTTTCCGTAAAGAGTACAAAAGTCCACCCGACGCCGGGAACGGGATAAGCTCATCAGACAATGCCTCAGAGATAAAAACAAAAGCAGATATCCAGCAGAAAAAAAGAAAATCTAACATGTACAATAATACACTGACACAGAAAGTCAGCTGTGTTAATAAAACATGCAACAAGTAACAAAACTTGCTGAAATCATTAAAAAAAAATCTAAAACCAGTTATAATTGCATAAATACTCTGTACAGTTCATTAATCTGCAGTGAAATGCATCTCTGCTGAAATGACAACGTAAACCTGCGTCAGTGAAAACTCATGATTCCTCTTTGCTTTTTTTTTTTTTTACAAGGTGCAAAGAAGTTGGGCCTCTTCTGCGAGACGGCGATGATGATTGCACTAAGTTACAGTACGGAAACGATGAACGCTAGCAGGAGGGAGTGTGTTGTTTGTGTGTGTGTGTGTGTGTGTGTGTGTGTGTGTGTGTGTGTGTGTGTGTGTGTGTGTGTGTGTGTGTGTGTGTGTTTTTTTAGGACCGAAACAAGGGCTGGGGGAAACCAAACGGATGAAAGTTCTTCAAAAGAAGCAGCGCTGGAAAAAAGGGAGGAATATGGGAGAAAAGAGGAAAGAAAAGGAGTAAAACATAAACTGACAGGATAGTTGAAGATGGTTCTTGACTTTAACCTTTGCAGTTAAATTTCTAGAATACAGCTGAAGAAATTAAAAACTGGGTAAGATTATTTTAGGTTTAGATTCATCTTTATGCTCCAGAAAACTGCCTTTTGTCTAGGGGTGTCCAAAGCGTGGCTCAGGGGCCATTTGTGGGCCTTGAAATTATTTTGTTTGGCCCCTGACTACAAATCAAAAATGGTAAAAAGCAATTGATGTTTTTACCATCATCAATTCAAAAATGTTTGTTTTTCTTTTAATAAAGCAATAATCATAAGTCCATTTTCTTTTGGCTCTTTAATAGATTTACAGAATAATTAAAAAAATAGTTTATTGAAAAAAAAATCACAACACACAGGTCAATGAAATCTGTGGGCAGTTTGTAATTTAAATTAGTCAGTTTTGGCCACAGGTTTAAAGTTTGGCCCCCACTGGCCAACAACAACAAAATGATTTTTCAAGACCCTTTGAACAACAAACAAGAAAGAAGATATTTTTATAAGTAAATGTCTACAAGGTGAATTTGTTAAAATTTAAAAAGAAATAATTCTGTAGTTCATATAAAATGTGAGGGGGGGGAAGCATTTAGTTGAAAGTAACTGACAGTAATATTAGTTTAATTCTGTAAAGCCAATGCAGATATTGGATGAAATTGTACAGAAAACCCATCATGGAGCTTTTAATGACCTTCATATTTAAAAACACCATTCAGTTCTTTGTTACTTTAGGCCAGTGATATTAGAAATGCATAAGGACTCTTAGATATTATAATATTCCTCTTACTACTTTTGCTTTTCAATATTGGTGTTGTGGGCAGGATGAGCTAAACTCTCAAGCTGATTCTGAGGAATCCCAAGGTATTCGTACTTCCTACACACATGACGTGTACAAACTATATAGGAATTACTCCCTAAAGCAGTTCTAGGTTTTTAGATCGACTTTTAATCAGGAGGTTTTTGGCTAAGCTCTTTATTTGACCCGACAGAAAAATACCAGTTTGTCATCTGCATGTAAGCCAATCAAATTTTACAATAAAGAGGACTAAATCGAAAGTAAACAAGGTGAAAAACTTTATCTTAGCCATGAATTCATAAAATTTTGTTCTTTAAATTTGAGGAGATTAAAAACTGGACAATCAGAGGAAAAAATATGGCGCCTTCGTTATGGAAATGTGTCAAAATGCTGCAACTTTCCACGTTTTTGGTGACGTTTGAGCTGAAATAAAAACTTTGGTGGTATAGAAAACTCTAGCTGCATTTATTGTCCCTTTAAATCCTCCACACCATCTCTGCTGGGCAACATTTCACCACAGAAATCAAACATAAAATCATAAAGTGGCATTTAAAAACGCATTTTTAACCCAGTTCGGCTGTTTTTGCCCAACTTTTCAAATATAACGGATATTGTTGAGGGATAACCAAGGTCTTCTCTTAAATTAGGTTGCAGCTAGAAGAATTAAAAACAGATTGTGTAGAGAGATGTAAAAATAAAGATGTCCCTTTTCTGTGTGCTTCTAAAAAGCTGCTTTGACTGCAATGTGGATGTCGGAGAATAAATTCACATTTTAAAACAAATCTCCGCCTTTTTGGATGAACTCGTAAAAACAGAAAGAATAAAACTGATATGTTTAAAAATCTGAACTGATCCAGTCTTCAGAGCGCAGCAGCAACCATGATAAAAAATACAACAACCTCCAAATGGAAAACGACGAAGGACAGAGGAGATGACAGGCTGAAAAAACAAAACTATTTGGCAAAAAATGGTGATTTTATGATCGATGTCACATTTTGTAAACAACAAAGTGATCTGGAAATTATTTATATATATTTATATATATATAAAAAAGGTGATTTTTGCATAACTCCACCCACAGACATAAAGTTTTGACATTCATATCCCTCCGTACGTCTTCTGTACTCGCTGTGGCTTGTGACGCAGGTTACACACAATCTGTAGTTTTGTTTTAAATCAAGGAGTGGTTAGTCACATCGCTAAGTTACAAGCAAGCTGTTGTTTTTCTAGATGACCTTCATTTTTGTTGTGTTTGCAGAGTTAAAAAGGCCGTGGTTACGTATTTACACTATGAACAAGTCTTTTTTTTTCTTTTTGTTTTTAATGGTGACAGAAGGAGGAAGAGTATCTTCGAAAATGGGGGGGGATTGATTCAGATTAGCTGCTTGGCTATTTTTTCCCTCCGGATGATGAGTGCATGTGGTTACAGTGATGGCTGAGTTTCTTTCCCACGTTTTCCTTTCGATCTGGTTCCGATCTCCGTGCAAATCAAACATTGTGGCGTTTGAGAGGATTGGGATTCTGGGAGGTTTCAGGTCACACGGAGGGCAGATCCAGGCGGTTTGCTAACCTATCAGTTTTTGGCGCCGCCGTCGTCGACGCTTCGCTCGTGCTGAAGGTTGTAGTAGCAGTTCTGACAAACTCGCACTGGAGATGAAATCTTCAGCCTTTTAATTTCCGACTGGAAGCGACTACACCTGCAAAACAAGCCGATTATATGTTAATAAATGAGATTCTGATAGTAATTTCTACAAACCAGATGATTTATAAACAAAGCCCAATTCATCACGTATGTGAACATGTAAAAGGAAAATAAAGGAGTACGTATAGAGCCCTGAGGTACACCAGAGGTACTAGAGTAGATGCGGGTTAACGTTTGCAGACTTACAATATTAAATCAGTGACGTTTATACATACACATATAACCAGTGCATGTTGGCATTCAGGGTGTTTTTGTGATCGATCGATTAGAGGAACCGCTGATCGGTTTCAGGTTCTTACCGCTGACAGAAGAGCTGCCCGCAGTTCCTGCAGTGGTGGCGTCGCTCGGTCAGGGAGAAGCGGACGGTGCAGCCGGAGCAGCTGTCCACCACCTCGTCCTTCACCCAGTGGTCAGCCGCCGAGCGGCCGGGCTGGTCGCTCACCGACCAGCTGAACACCCGGCCGCGCCCGTCTCCGACCAGGATCTTACTGTGGTCCCTGCAGAGACGAAGCAGAGGGAAATGAGACCGCTCTCACCGGGGCTCATTCACTTTCAAACAGCAAAATTCAAGCAAACTATCATTTTAGTAAAATAGGATGTAGTTTCATAGATATAAGCCTGTCATCAGTTAACGTCACGTTGCGTCAGCAGCCGCTTGCATGTCGCCTGCAGAACGCAGACAATAATACATTATTCTAACTAAACTACTTACAATTAAAACAATTGTTAAAGCTGTGTTTTTGTTTCTACGTTGGTTAATTTAACTTTTTATGTATTTATTGAGCCTTTAGGAATAATAAATATTGCTTAGATTGAAAGGATCCAAACAAATCATGGGACAGTAGATGACTCTCCTGCTCAAATTAAATGCTTAAACCCAAAATGCAAAGGATTTTCAAAAACAAAAATCTAAAAAAATGTTCTTGCCAAGTTTTTTGTCATTTAGCAAATGTAAATAATTTTGGTAATTCTAACTGACCTAAAACAATAAAAGTTTAGTCTGATTTAACTTCAAACAGTGAAGTTTTTATTAGGAGCACAAAAATATCTATTAATGTTTTACAAATTCAGGCGTTATATTTGAACTTTATTACAAAACTGCTCAGCTTTATTATCAAGCACTTTCCAAACCTTGAAAACATCTAATTAAAATTCAAGGATGTTGAAGGATTTCAAGCACCTGCATTAATTAAAGGTTTAAATGAATTAAACCGGTGAAACGTTGAGAGTTAAACAGCAGAACTTTTAGGAGTTTGCTTCGTATTTATGTTTTAGATGTTTTTAAATGGTTTATTCTTGAAAAAGCCTTTTTTAAATGTTCTGTCTTACTTGGAGATGGAGAGTGAGGTGATCTCGGCCGGATGGGCGTTGTCCTTGCGATCGAACGCTGTGTGCATGGTGAGTTTGCTCCGGAAGACCAGCTGACGCTCCCATCTGTATCCTGCAGCCACACACACATCAAACACGCTCGCCGAATCGCCTCTAGCTGGAAAACGCTCAGAGTCAGGAAGATGTCGCCCACCTGCTTTGAGCTGGTTGTAGGTCCGCGGCTCGGCGGCCGGCGGATGGACAGACTGAGGGAGGGACGCCTGGGCTGGGTGAGCCGACGGAGGCAGGGGGCCTTTGGTTTGGCCCTCGGAGTAGTTGACGAACACGAAGCCGTCTTTCTCGTCGATGCTGAGCGTGTCCGACCAGCGGTGAGAGTCGTCAGAGCCGCTGTCCATCGACCACGACGCTCCGGCTCTGGATGACGGACCTGAACGGAGGATAGAAACAGAGACGGAGTTACAGAAAATACAGAGAAAATCAGAGCTAACTAACAATTAACTCAGATCAGAAATAAGCCTTCAGAGCCACATAAAGGCAGTTGCAAAGTCGGCCTTCTATCACCTGAAGAACATTTCCAGGATTAGAGGATTAATCTAGAGAAACTCATCCATGTGTTCATCGTTAGTTGCAGTGATAACTGTGTCTTCTCTGTGGCTCTGTGGGTAGAGTATGTCGTCTTGTGATGGGAAGGTTGCAGGTTCGATTTCAGCTTCTTCCTCTCGCATGTCGATGTGTCGCTGGGCAAAGAACTGAACCCCCTACTGATCTGCATGTTGGTGTATAAATGTGTGTTTGTGACTCCAGTGTAAAGCGTTTTGAGTAGTAAAATGATTGGATAAGTTCACAGGTCTGCCTAAAAAAATCAATCAGATCCTGGTTCTGTTGGACCTCAGTGGGGCTTCTGACACTGTTGATCATGACATATTACTAAAAAGACTGGAGAGCTGGGAAAAACTTTCCCGTCACAATCGACTGTGATTAATCTGATGGTTTGTTTCAGTTGTAGTGAGAAAGCTGGAGCTGTTGAGCAGAGATCTGGGCGGCGTACCTCTGGGTCGGTGGACGGCGCTGCCCGGCTGGCTGCCGCTGCCTCCGCCGGTCGAAGGGTTGCGCGGCGCCGCCGGTTCCTCTCCTTCTGACTCGCTGCTGTCATCGTCGCCATTGTGACTCTCGCCGCCTTCTGAGAGAACAACAACGTTTAGGTTCATCAGTGCAGAAGCGTTCATAACTCCCTCACACTTTGTCACATTACTGTCATGAACTTTAACATATTTCTTCAGCCTTAGCCATGGCTTCGTAGAATCGCTTTCTGTTGCAGCTGAAAGCTTTTCAGGTGTTTTCACGCCCAGTGGACTCGGTTCATTGGGGACTAAAGGTGCAACATTTGTTACATTTCCAGCTGCTGAACTGTGTCAAACAAACCAAACTCATTGAAAAACCTGTTCCCCTCCTCGCCTGTGGGGGCGCTGCACCAAGAACCCCTGAAGGAAACAACACAAAAACTAAACAAAACTAACTTATAAGTAACTTTTTAAAAATAAGTCATTAATTCCTTAAAATTCATAAAAACTAATAGTTTCATTGGCTGACTATTTCACTTATAACAAGGAAAAAAATGTCTTGTTATAAGTTTAATAATCTGCCTGTTGAAACTAGAACTTTTTCGATCAATATTAAAGTTTTATTTACTTAAAACAAGCTCATATTTTGTTGAAAAGTTACTTGTAAGTTAGTTTGATTTAATTTCAAGTGTATTAAGATATTTGCACTAGAAACTAGACCAAAGATACTTAATAATAATAATAATAATAATAATAATAATAATAATAGTAATATTTTGTGTTTTGCAGTGTAGACGAGGTCTGAATGAAAATGGCTGCTCTACGTTTTAATTAAGGGTATCACCGTATATTATACAGTTGGTTTATTACATAAAATAGCATTAAAATAACTTTAAGTCTGAAAAATGTAAAGCAAAACTCACCGATCTTCTCATCCGCGCAGCAGTCGGACACGTCGGGCTCCACTGGCTCTGGCGCAGGGGTTTCTGGGACTTGTAGGAACTCCATTCTCCAAAACTACAAAACATTTTTCACCACAATCCCAGAAGGTTAAAGGTAAAGCTCCTGAAAAGATGACAAACCTGAGTTCAGAAAGTCTGGTTACCCTGACGACTCCGTCGGAGTGTCCGGTGACGATGACGTTCTGCGTGTCCCACTCGTTCATCTCGGACACGCAGCAGCAGAGGATCTGCTGGCTGCGGCCGGTGAAGGTGTTGGCGCTGGCGATGGGGCTGCCGTTGATGCTCCACATGTGGATGTAGGTTCCTGCGCAGGAGACGATGTCACCCTGCAGAAAGCGGACGGTTTATTAGCACCGCACTTTGTACTCCCCTGACCTACATGAAATTCCAGGGTCATCCAGTGAGGAAGTGACTCACTGTCAGCTCGTTGATGCAGAGAGCGGAGACGGGCGCGCGGTGGCCACGCAGCTGTGTGACGAAGGACAGCTTGTTGAGGTCCCAGATGATGCAGGTCCGATCCCGGGAGCCGCTGACGACGATGCGGTACGCCGACGACGCGGTCAGACACGTCACGGCGTCCGTGTGGCCAAGTAACGCCTGAAACGTAAAGAGAAACGGTTCATTCTGACCAAACCTCACCTCACTGACCGAGGCAACTGGATGATTCAGATTAAATGGCTGTGCCTGACGCGACCCAAATACCATTTATCTATTTTTGCCTTAGTTACACTAGTTCCTACACCAGCCATCTTATGTCATGTTCCCTTTTTTATTTTTAACTTAAAATAAACAACAAGGAATCGTTATGTAACTGAATTTATAAAAAACAATAAAAATTTAAAAAAATCAATTTAAGTGTCACTATATTTGAAAGAAAAAATTTACATTAAGAAAACATCCATCCATCCTTCATCATACACGCTTAAAATCTGGCAAAAGAAACATTTTTCCATAAACACTGCAGGTCTGTGTCCGAGTCTGTTGAAGTTTTGGTTAAAACATGTTTGTTTTTCATTCAGCTGGTAGAAAATCCAGAAATTTTACTCAAGTAAGAGAAGAAATACTTCATAATAAAATTACTCCAGTAAAAGTAAAAAGTACAGCGTAATAAAAATACTCCTAAAAGTAAATTTTTCTAAAAAGTTACTCAAGTTAACGTAGCTGAGTAAATGTAACTAGTTACTACCCAACTCTGCATACAAGTTGAATACTTTTGGAAGAGTGAACAAAAAAAAGAAAAAAAAAAAAGATTTCACATAAAAATATTTGGGTCACTCCAGGCCGAGTGTGCGCAGCCTCACCTGTGTGCGCAGCCTCACCTGTGTGCGCAGCCTCACCTGTGTGCGCAGCCTCACCTGTGTGCGCAGCCTCACCTGTTTGAGCGTCAGAGACTTGGCCTTCTCCTTGGAGCTTCCTGTCTCCCACACGCAGATGGCGGTGCTCGTCCCCCCGGTGATGACGAGCTTTGGGTTGGGACAGATGGCGCCGAGGATCTGGCCCCACTCCGACAGACACTCGTACACCACCAGGGCCTGAAACGAGTCGGAATATCGAAATTTATCCTCAACACAACAACTGGCTGTGCACAAAAAGGTTTTCTTAACGTCCTAACACCTTGAAGTACAAACACACTGCACAAAATATTACCAAGTAATTCTGGTCTAGTTTCTAGAGCAAATATCTTAGTACACTTAAAATGAGACAAAACTAACTTAGAAGTAACTTTTCAGCAAAATATAGAAGCTTGTTTTAAGTCAATAATTCCTCAATGTTGTTTTAAAAAATAAAATTTTAAGTAAAACATGGAAAAAATGTCTTGTTCTAAGTGAAATAATCTGAGCGGCACTAGCATTATTTTCATCAATATAAAGGAATTATTTAGTAAAACAAGCTTCTATATCTTTCTGGAAAGTTACTTTTAAGTTAGTTTCAACTTATTTCAAGTGCACTAAGATATTTGAATGAGAAACTAGACAAACATTTTGGTAATATTTTGTTTTTGCATCAGATCCATCAGTAGACCCAGACTTCAGGCCTGATCTCTAGTTTCTAGCTGTAATACCTGAAGCTGTGCGTTGACCCTTTGCAGGTCCAAAGATAATATCAAAGGATAATAATAACATATTAAAACCATCTCTGTAAATCTGTGAGGGCATAAGAAGCCTCTGACCTTGTCGGACTCGTAGTTGGCCAAGCGGCAGCTGAGGTCGGCGTAGCCCCAGGCGAACGTTTTGCTCCAGGTGGGTGGAACCAGAACTTTGTTTTGCTCCACAGCCAGGATGCCTTTATCAGTGCAAACGATCTGACCCACAGGCTCCTTCAGCTCTGAACCAGAGAAACATGAGTTCTGTTTACTTATGTGTTTAAACTCAGACAATGAAGCTGTATAAAAAAAAAAAATCAGCTTCTTAGAAAAACCAAAAAGTAAGACACACAGAAGCAATTACTGAATTATTTTTATTTATAAATTCATTCTTTTTATTTTTACATGTTTTCAGGATGGAACTAGTTGCAATAAACAATAAATCAATTTATTGTATGATAAATTAAAACTAAATCAATAATGCTGATGGAAATATTAAAGCAGATTTTAATCTGTGTGTGTGTGTGTGTGTGTGTGTGTGTGTGTGTGTGTGTGTGTGGCCTTATGATAACCTTTGACAGGAGCAAGAGAAGGTCTGAGGTTGTCCAGGTGATGGAAAAAGATCTTGTCGTTGTTGGAGTTCGTCGGAACGGCTGCTAGGTCGCCGTTGGTTTTACTGCGAACGCGTTTGGGAGGATGAGGTTTCTTAAACAGCTGAAAGAAAGAAAAAGAAAATTCAGTCAGAAGGAGATTTCTGCTTCCCAAACCAAAGCAGAGTCAGATTTCCGAGTTTCTGACCTGCTTGGGGATTTGTCCGAAGTTGTTGATGAAGCCGATGGTGGCCGTCTCCTTCAGCGGGTCGTTGATGTTGTAGATGTCCACCTGCCCCTCGTAGAACAGGTGGTGGAAGACGTTGACGGCCTCCACGGCCGGCGGCCCCTGCTGCTTGTAGCCGAAGATCAGGTCGATCCACTCATGGAGGTGAGCGGAGACGTAGTCGCACTCCAGCGCCTGGAAAAAAACACAAATCTCAAACCTCAACAAGTATAAATTAGGCTTTCCTGAACAGGTTAGGATCGGTCTGTGGGCTGACCCAAACATGTTCATTAAATTTTTTTGCACAAAATCTACTTTTGATAACAAGACTTTAGCCTGGTTAGGCATAGAATGAGCTGCTTTAGGGCCTCTGTCACTTTAAATCCAAACAAACACAAATCCACTCCAACTCACCATTTACGTAAAAATGTCTGCAAACAGATGCGCAATTGTATAACCGTATATCTCTGAAAAGCAGAAGTGAAACCTCCTGCGCAACCAACAAGAAAGCAGCAAGTGGTTTCTGGATGGTAAGTCAACAACTAAACACTTGTCTTTTCCAGCAGCCATTGTACAGCAAGACTATCAAACCATTGGAGCTCTGCTTGGGTTTCTAGGTAACGGTGCAGCATGACTCAACAATCAGGAGGCTTTTTAAAAGGGTCATTTACCAGACACCAAAAAACATTAACTTACTGCTAAAAAAATCATTTAGGTTATCTTCAGTTGTTACAAAACTGCTACATGTAGCAAATATGACTTAAAAGAAATTTTACTTCCTGATTTAATGCCTTCAAATTGGGCCACCGTCTCTTTAAAACCTCCGGCTGCAGAAAGTCATTACAACATGGCTCCTCTATTAACCCTTCAACCACGTTTTTACCAGTGTTTCACTGCGCAGTGCCACCAGTTTGCTAATTGCTGCTGGCTAGTCTGAAGGAACAGAGCGGGGAGGGCTGCTCTGAGAGGTGGAAGGAAAGAAACAGCAGCTCGGAGGAGGAGCTGCACCTTGGAGGCGGAGCTAGATCCACCCAGGCGTTTTGAATAGTGGAATAGTTGTCATGAGAATTAAAGGATTTCTCAAACAGGCTTGAAAGAGTGAAAGCAGGACTCCAGGTATGTTTTTGAAGAGGGCATCACAACATGATGTAAAGCTCAAAAAAGTGGATTCTACTTGTTACTGCCCTCTAATTCTCCTACCTCTCTGTGGACTCTGATGAACTCCCGGGGGTCACCTTTGGCCCACGGCGGGAGGATGACGTCACCCAGCTTGGTGCCGTTCTGCTTGGCACCTGAAGCAACAAACGGCAGAATAAGTGAAATCTCCTACAGCTGATCTGAAAGCAGCCGACGGCGCGGATCGTCTCTGGTCACCCACCCAGATCAAAGTTATTGGAGTTCAGCAGGAACTCAGGCAGGTAGAAGAACTCTGGGATCAGCTCCTTGACGTCGGCCATGTTGTGTTTGGAGGCGGAGAGCCACGCCTCCCGGACGCTGTGGAACATCCTGTCTGCAAGGTCAAAGTGACCTCCCTGAAGGTCACAGAGACACACAGTTAAATCGTGGTTCCCAAACCTTTTCAACACTTAAAGGGGTTTTTATTGTTTCCTTTTAAGTAACTAAACAAGTGTGTTGTTTTTCTTTCCCTTTTCTTTATTGTGTTTGGTTGTCATATTTTATTTTGAACATTTAAAATGTCTTCCAGTTCTAAATTATGGAAATGAGGCTAATCTTCAGAGCTATTTAGCTTTGCTTTTTGGCAAGCAGAGCTTTGACCCGATTTCTGTAATAATCAATATAAGCTCTGGAATTGAGGATCGAACCTGAAGTCTGAGGAAAATCTGCGTGAATGGCTCCATCCGGACCAAATACGAGGCAACGATCATGGCGGAGGAGTAGTGGGTCCCGTAGTGGTACGCTGGGGTTTCACCTGGACAGAGGAGTCAGCAAAGATCTGAGTAACATCAGGAAATAGCTGCACCATTTGTTTAGTTTGATGTAAATTCGCCAGTTTAATAACAGATAAAACTGCTGAATAATACTACTAAATATTAGCTTTTTGATGCTAACGCCAACTTCATGAGCGCTCCATGACTAACCCAAATCTGATTTTTTTTTTGCCAAATCTGACTTTTTCACCGCAGTCTGAATGGCCCAATTCCAATCTTTTTTCACCCAAAAATAATCAGATTTGTGTCATGTCCATATGTGGAGCTAAGTGGGATACATATCTGATTGTTTTCAAAGTGTCTGCAGTCTGAACGGTCATGTCACTTAATGTAATTCTGCACCAGAAGAAGCAGCTTCCTCCTTCATGTTATGATCTTGTGACAATACTGTCGTCTCTCATTGCTGAACAAATTTAAAATCGTTCTCTTGCACATGCTGGCAACTTTGAGGATGAACACCAGTCTGATGGTGATTGAGTTTCATTAGCAGTATGAACAAAAAAACCAAGCAAGTCAGATTTCAGTAAAAAATGTGAACTGAGCGTGAAGAGGTTCGGCGGCCTCACCGTTGGGATCCTCCCAGTCTTTGTATCTCTTCTTGTACTGGGTGAGCCGGTCGTCGGTCTGGGCGCCCATCGGCTTGGCCAGGTTTCGGAACGTCTTTGGGTTGTTCAGGTCCAACTCCTGCAAATTTAAATAAACAACAAAAACTGAAAGCGGACCCAAATCCACAAACCTCGTTTTAAAGGTGAAACGCTTCTTTGCTCACCTCTGAGTCGAAGTCGGCCAGGATCCAGGGGAAAACCGGGTACTGCATCAGGTCGTTGTACGAGCGTCCCGCCAGCGTGTTCAGATGCATCAGGTACTGGAAGTTACTGATCTCACCTCGCTGGAACACACACACACACACACACACACACTCAGGAGCCGTCGATACAGGCATCAAGACTATAAATCCCAAACTAAAGATTCTTACCTCCCATCTTTGAGTGACTGACTTCTCACCAACCAGCGTGCTGAGAAGTCCAGACCTGAAGGAGACGAGGAGAAAAACTCAGTGGCTCTGAAATAAAGGGCTGATAGTCTTTATTATTATTATTATTATTATCATCATCATCTGTGTGGAGAAACAGATATTTATGAGAACAGAGTAGGTGATTGTGATTTATGTAAAAAAAAAAACTGTAGTAAATTCCTTTCTGGTTATTTTTATGAGGAGAATAGCCTTAATAACTGAAATAACTAATTATTATGAGATAATTACCCTTGTTCGACGCTGGTGTTGGGCCTCTGGCCTGAAACAGACTCTGAGCTGTCAGCCAGCGACGGCACAACAGCCAAGAACCTGCAGGAAAAAAAAACGCTGTTCAGCGTCTCCAGCAGGAGTAAAACTCATTTTCATTACCAAAGGTAACTCTACACTCTACCTTTGGTAAACTTTGTTGCGAACGCCTTTCTGGAAAGCCAACAAGTAGTTCCTTCCATCGGCTGAGAAAACTTCCACCGCCATCGGCTGAAAGAAACAAAAACAAAACAAGGTTTTACACTAAAACATAAAACCTCCAACATTTGAGCATATTTAACAAAAACCTTTAAAAATCATTGCATTTCTGAAGTACATGGTGAAGTAAAGTCACATTGGACTTTTGCTCTTCATTTGGCTTTTTGTGCATTTAAACCAACTTATTGTTGGTGTTTTTGTTAATGATGCTAATTTTGTTTATTGATGAAATTTTAAGAAAATGATTGTTTATCCACTGTTATTAAAATTAAATAGATGCTATATTAGTGGGTTAGCTACTGATCAATACAAACTGGAACACTGACCAATTTATTTGATGCATATTGATGTCTGTGATGTCATTTCACATTTGGTTACTGTATGATGTATTTATGATGTTTTCATGACAATGAGCTGCCTTCACTGCAAAAACGAAAATCTTACTAAATACTTTTGGTCTAGTTTAGTTAGTTAGTACATTTGAAACAAGACAAAACTAACTTACAAGTAACTTTTCAGCAAGAAACTGTTTTAAGTCAATAATTCCTTAATATGAAAGTACGGGTTCCACTGGCAGATTATTTCACTTGTAAAAATACATTTTTCATGTCATAACTGCAGTATTTTTAATCAATATTAGGGAATATTTGTCTTTAGACAAGCTCCTGTTTCTTGCTGAAAAGTTACTTGTAAGTTAGTTTTGTCTTATTTAAAGTGTTATATGACATAATTGCACTAGAAACTAGACCAAAAATACTTGGTTTTCAATTGTTCTGTTTGTTTGTTGTTGAGATGTTCTATGTAAATAAACTTGACTGACTGATTAAATACAAATTTGTTATATGTATGGTCTATATGTGTAATAAATATAAGATTTTGTAGGTGGATCAGAACTGGGAATATTGATACGTTTATGCTCGTCAATATTCAGTCCCATGAATATTTGGTTTTGACTTTATGCTTCATGCTCTAAATTTTTTTGTACATCTTTAAAAAACAAATCATCAATAATAATAATAAAAAAATTCCAACTAAGAGAAGTATCACTGTAGATACTTATAGTCCAAACTGTTGAAAACTCTTCTAAATTTGAGCCTTTTAGCCCAGTTTATGATCCAATAACATCACTTTTATTAGGTGCTTAATAAAAATATAGAAGTGGTATTTAAAGTACAAAAACAAAAATATATGTTAATTAAAACATGCCAACCAATTTACTTATAAAGTTGAATGTCTCAGACAGAGCTAACACTGCAGTGTGGAGGGTTTTGGGCCTGACCTGCAGCAGGTAGCGCCGCTTGTGAACCTCCTTGATGTCTTCGTAAGCAAAGATGCTGCAGGTTCTCTTCAGCTGGCTCTGGCCCTGCCGCGCCCCTCTGGGAATGATGGCCTCGTGCAAACTAGACACCAAGAAAACATAAGGATTCAGATTACGCAACAAAAACACCACAAAAAATATAAAGGGAGAATAAAAATGTAAAACACTATTGAAGAAAAGGGTCAGAGGTCAGAGAGGAGACGGCGGCGGCTCACTTGGGCGGCAGGGTGTCGATGTCCCTGATCTCCCTGGAGACGGTCATGGTGTAGCCGTCGATGACGTAGAAATGCTCCTTCCCGAACAGCAGCAGACCCTCGCTGGTGTCCAGGCCCTGCACCCTGGCACAGCGGTACATGTGCTGGATCTGGAGGAACAGGAAGAAAACAGATCACATGAATAAAAACTGTGAGCAAAAAAAACAACTGTTCAGAGGAAAAAAATGAAACAGAGAAAGAAGGATGGGAGGGTCAGGAGAGAAACTGTGTGATGTGAGAAGAGCTGGTGAGAAAAAGAGACAGTTCAGAGAAAAACACTGCAGAAAAAATGAAACAAGGATGGAAGGAAAAAAACAGGAAGTGAGAAAATAAAGGATGGAAGAATTGAAAAAAAGTCCAGTATTCACAACAGGATCTGCTGCGCCGCACTGAATGGTGATTGACAGCGCTAAGATCCGCCTACTGGCTCTGACTGGTTGTTTCTAGTTAGCGCTGACTCAAGGCAGATGATAGTTTGGATTATATGTATCAAACAGATAAAACCAATATGTAAAAAAATAATTTATAAACATTGATTCTTTTGTAATGTTTGTTAAATTATGATTTTATTCTAATAAACAACATATTTATTATTATTGAGTTTATTTGACCGGGACAGACACACATCGACATGGATAAACTGAATAAAACAGCCCCATGTTTGTCATAGTGCAATAAAAACAGCTAATTCGCAGCACTTGTCCCTAGAAGTGCTGCGAATTGTTACTTTAAATATAATTTAAATTAACATATTTTAATTACTTTTTTATTATAGAAAAAAATATTTATTCTAAACAATATTTATTGCAATAAATACAATATGATTTTATTGTAATTCAACTTCTATGCACCATAAATCTGGAACAAACTTCCTGTAATGTTTGTTAAACTGTTGACTGCACGGTGTTTTCTTTGTAGCTTTATCACTTTGTGTTTTTATTACTTAAAGCAACTTGAACAAATAAAACAAATAAACTTGACTTGAGTTGTTATTTGTGGCAGAGTGTAATGGGGATCCTTAAATAAACAAAGCTGCTCAACAACACAAGATGAGCTTTTACTCCACAATCCAATAAGAAGAAAAACAGGAAACGCTGAAATTCTGCAACCACAATAGCAGAGCAGATATCGATCATAAATGTCTCCCCTCACCTTCTCCCCCTCCTCCAGGAGGCGCAGTAGGGACGTGTTGTCGGTCCTCTGCTCTTCTTCTGGACCTCCAGACTCCAGCAGCTGGTCCTGAAGCTGGTCCTGGCTGTCCTCGTCCGTGCCGTCAGCTGTGGAGCGAGACCTCTTCAGAGGAGCCTTCACCAGACCTGGAGGGCAGGAAATAAACACACCGACAGGCAGTAAAATGGATGAGTAAGAAGCTAAAACAGATGCTGACTAATCAAATCTATTATAAATCATTTAATATTTAAAAATTACATAATCAGATGGACCAAAA